ATCTAAAAGTGTTGACGTTCCATCATCATCAAAGTATTGATATAAAATGTCTTATCCTATATCTGGTTTCAAAATATGTCATATACTAATTTACCTCAGCTCTAACCAGTATTACCCATTTGTTGAATCAAAGTTTTATTAAAGACTGCACAGTTTGGGAAATAATGTATTTAATCGAGAAATTATACATTTAATTGTTCAATTAAAGCCCAGATACATTTTGTTCAAATGATGGCCTTTAAAGAAACCTAAACTAAAAATCTGAGTTAATAAGGGATGAAATGCTCTAAATGTTGTTGCATATATTTCCAGAGTTTCTACCTCTTCTGAGACACAAAGATGGCAACAGCTCTGACTGTCCTTCTCACCGTCTCCCTGCTGCAAGGTGAGTTAAACTTAATTTACAATTTCATTAGTTCTTCTAAAATGTATAAAAACTCTTACTTGCTTCACATTCAGTGGTTTATGCAATACTGCAGAAAAAATAAGTCTGCGGAGAGCTAATCAAGGTTTTTTTAAATGGCTAATAATTTGTACTTAAACCTAAAAGCAGGTTATTTACAGTTGTCTTTCTGGATTATTGGTAAGCGAGTCAGCAAAAAATACTCCCGATTTCTCATCATTGTAAAATGTGATGAACTCTTATTCAGATATGTGTTTGTTGTGTTCTAGGTGCCCTGTGTGAAACGTTTAAGGTGATTATGCCACAGACTATAGACGCTCTCAGTGGATCCTGTGTGACCATCCCTTGCTCCTTTGACGTAACCAACATATATAAACCCAAGTTGGATAACACATGCGGAGCAGTATGGAAAATTCTTCAAGGAACCGTTGTGTTCAACAGCAGGGATCCACAACAGACTACAATAAAGGGGACACTGATAGGAAACTTGACAAAAAAAGACTGCACCACAACCCTAAATAACATGCAAACTGCTCACAGCAATACATATGCCTTTCGACTGGAATGCAACAATGTGAAATATGATTTTTTGCAATCAACCGTGAATATTTCAGTCAAAGGTAGGTTCTAAAGTCTATTTATTTGAATTTAATTTTCCCTTGTAGAACCGACCTGACATTGTTTTGCATTTATTGCAATTTGAAAATAGTGTAATGAAAGACAGGGAATGACTGTGTATTCAGCGGATGGTTCATAAGTACACTCTGCTTGCATTATGTAATGACAATAAAGTAATCTAATCTAATCTAATATGTACCTTCATACCAGACGACCCTCCCAGACCGACTCTGACTCCTTCCACACTGAGGGTGAAGGAGGGAGCCTCGGTGAGTTTGGTGTGCTCCGCTCCAGCTCCCTGTCGGTCTCATCTTCCAACTCTGACATGGACCCCCGGCCTGGGGCTCAGTCAGGAGACACTGCAGGAGAATGAGGACAAAATTGAAGTCAAGACCTCTGTTGTGAATTTCACGGCTTCTCACCAACATCAAGGAAAGACCATTTCCTGTACAGCCACCTACAACAAACAGAAAGGGAGTGCTGAGTCAGCTGTTAGCACGAGATTAACAGCTAATATTTCATGTAGGTTAACTTGTCCTCTGCTGAAACTCATTATTACCAATGTTTTTAATTGACTTTTTGGACTCAGCGCAGAAAACCTTGAGTTAAATGTCTACAAATAAATAATGAATCTCTGTGATGTGCATTCTGATAGTTTTCACATACAACTTTTCAATTATTATTTCATTCCCTAAATCTTGACATTTGTTTAACCTTCAGATATATAGATGAGACTTTTCTTGACTATAACCCATCTGTTTTCTCTACATCCATTAAAGTTGCTCCACAGATCTTGCCATCATCTGATTGCACCAAAGATGAAGCCCAGCTCAACTGTTCCTGCAAGACCGCTGGAAACCCTTCTCCCACTTTACAGTGGTATTTGGATGGGTCACCTGTCAATCACTCTGACATGTTCTCCATCAGTTATGAGCCTCTGAATGACACAGGTCTGAGGAGCACCATTGCTGTGAGTCGACATGAGGAGAGGGATCTTTCCACCCTGCTCTGCCGCAGCTACAACTTCCTGGGATCTGCCAGTCAACTATTCTGTGTCAACAGCCTTGGGCCTGAAACATCTGCAAACAGCCAAGGTCTGTCCTATGATTTCAAATGTTATTGGTTAGCTGGAATCTAGGATTTACGGATATTCCCGTGAAATCAAGATATTTATTTATTTGTGTATTGAGCTATGAACTAGGTTTATACACTGTAAGACAACCAATTATGTTTGAAACACTTTTGGATTGGTTTCTATTAAGTATTGCATTCATTTTTGAAAGAATTAAATGACCAGAAATGCCTGAGATAACCAAGTGGGAGTGGGTATTGTATGTGGCAGGGGAACTCAGTGTTGTTATTCAACACATTTCACAAATGTGTGAAAATTGATGGAAATTCTGGTGTGACTTCCTGAGGTGTGAACACACCCTCATTTCTTCTATCTAGCATACTGCTAACTTAAGTTAAAAGTGAGTAAGAGGTGATGAGTGGTGATAACACATTTGAGTTAACAACTGCTGGTGGAATGTCTGTATATAGAGTAAGTCCAAACTGTTATCCAATTAATAAATTCCTATACTTTTATTGTCCCTTGTTTGTTTCAGATCGAGTGATGTTTCCAGTCTTCATCACCACAGTTTTCACTCTACTAGTACTAGTCTGTGCTCTGCTGTTTGTTATCAGGTAGGGTAAAGTGTTGCACTATATATTTTATAGTGCCCAGTACAGTGTTTGTTTGCGTCTTTATTCATTAAAACACATTCAACAGGGTACTTTCAAATTGCAACTGCAAAATGTACCTTCATAACAATGATTTTAGGAAAGACAAGAGGAAGAGGAAATGTGCCTTTTCATAAAGGATCACTGCCAACACTGGTGTATATTATAAAAACATGTCAAACAGCACTTTCAATCCCCGACATGCACATCTCATCACTTTGATAGTTTAAACCTCCACTTGGTTGGCTACTATCTTATAATTAACACCCTTAACAGAGTTTAAATTCATAACCATGACATTTAGTTCCTTTAAAGGGGACCTATCATGCAAAATGCACTTTTGTACGTCTTTTATACATGAATATGTGTCCCCGGTGTTCCAGGGAACTCACCAAGTGTCAGAAAACACAACCCTCTCTATTTTCCTCCATACCCAAATCTCTAAAAAAGGGGCTGCAACGGATCTGATAAAAACTGATCCAGATTTGAACACTTTCCTGACGTCAGGACAGTGGCGCTAGGCTATTGGGCCAACTCCACCAATCAGGAGGAGACAACCACGGCATTGCCGTTCGAAAGCGCTGGAGATGTTGTAGTACATATGCCAGGCCTCTAGATGGTGCTGTTGCTCACAGAATCAACCCTTGCTAAAACAGATCTAAAAAATGTCAAATTGAGCAAAATGAGGCATGGCTAAAATGCATGATCTGTTTGGTATTTTGAAAAGAAAAAAGTATAAATATGCCTTATATAGGTATGGTCCTACACTATATTATTAAAATATAGCATGATAGGTCCACTTTAAGCTATTTCCTTTTCTGTGCTTTCACTGTGATCAGTGGTTTCATCCTGTTGATGAATACATGAAAAATTACACATAATAGTAAGTTGAATGTACTATTGCCTTTGCCAGGATTCGGCGGACCCAACACAACCTTCAGGAGGGTCAATGCACGGGGGACACCAGCAGAGTTATGAGCCAACTTCTAATGAGTGGAGAGGGAAATGAGGTACATTGACTTAAAGCCAAGCAGTTTTCTATAGTTCTCTTTCACCGTTAGCTGAGTAGCACTGATGTTGTCTCTTTAATTGTATAGATACCAAACACAACAGAAGAAGACATTTATGTCAACAGCGAAGCGCTGAGACAGGCAGATGTCGCCCACCCTACAATCAACTCTGAGCCAAACAGCACCAACTTGCAAGGCATGAGACCAAACAATGCAGAAGGAGCCTGTAAAAGCTCAGAAAAGGAAAAAGGCAATACTGTTATTTACTCTAGTGTGAATCGGAATACCAGGAAGAAGACAGAAAACTCTGTGGACATGCATCAGCCTGGAAGCTCCTCTCTGGAGGAGGAGAGGTGAAAGGTCAGAGAAATTAAGGACTCTGATCTGGCATAAAACATCTCTTCTCTTTTCTGATATTCATGTATTTGTATGCATAAAATAAATTAAATAAATACATAAATAAAAAAAGAGGCATGTGCTGAAGCTTTGTGAGCAATGCTGGAGATGGGAAATATATATTTAGATTAATAATAATGAAACATTTTCATTATTTACTGTGTAATGCATATTATTATAAGACACTGTATTTTCTTTCATATATTGATGTTGGCATGTGTTAATTAAAAGAGTCCCTGCTTTTGAAAAAAAAATTCAGTGTCAGTGTGGTTTATTTTCTTTATGAAGCTTATTCTTTTTTAACATTGAGTTTTTTGTTCAAAGTAAACTGGTTGTATATGTCAGTCCTATATATGGTCACAGGCCTAACATGAACAGAAAACCAATGCTCTGGCTGACTGCCTTAAATAAGGTCAGCAAGTTTCCTGTCTGATACTGATACCATGGTGGGTGTAGAGAGGCGGCGGTGAACTTACACATCGGTGGGCAATCGTAGACACATGCAGCAGATCGTCAGACAAGGTAAGCGCTCCTGTCAATCAACTCAATTAAAACATGAATCCTACATTTCAAATTCTCAATACAGTACTACAGAATAATAGTGTGTAATTGCTACTCTGATAATGAGGTGCTTCAGGCCTTTAAGTGTTCAAAAGTGACTGCTCTAAAGGATTTGCAGTAACTTATATGATTGATATGTGACTCGACATCAAACATCTGCTAGGTATATACAGTTTCCTGTACCACAGTATAAAAGACCAAAGTAATGTACAGAAATAACACAAATATTTTAAACTGTAATTAAAGTAACATGTGTAACGCTGCTGTGTTTCAGAAATTCTGATGTTAAAGGTGGCTTACTAAATGTGTACAGCGACTACTTTCTTCGATGGGGACTGCACTTCTGTTCAGACTGCTCAGCTTGTTTACTGGTAATATTACGCTTTATCTGTTTATGTTTCTTCTCTACATTTTAAAGATTAAAAGATAACACAATGAGCTAGTACTTCAAATATGAGTTTCATCTTAAGAGAACTAGGCCTATACCAAATGTGAGAGTTTTGCTGAGACATAGAAAAAGTAAAAAGCAGCAATAAAACAAAAAAATTATGAAATACAGACAAATCAATAGCAATTACTACTTTCATTACTACCAACATTATTATTACTGCACAGTTGCAGTTGTTTTTTTGTGTGTAAAGTTACTCGCGTTACATTTAAACAAAAAAAAGGCTTAAGTGGTGTAAACTGCATTAGCACACCATTTGAAGCCAATTTGCAATGTAGTGTATCAGCATAGAAGAAAAAGGCTGATGTAAAGTCCTTATATGTTTTAATACATTCTAGCTGAAAACGGCTTTAAAAATAATATGGGTTGTTTTAGAATAATTTTTACTTTTTGTTTCCAAGAAGTCATAGGAAATGATTTCCTGTCACTCTGCTATGGTTAAATGTCTCTAATACTGCAGCACACTCAGCGCTGTGGTTAATCGGCTCTCTCAGTTACATGTGCAGAATAATTCATAGTTGTCACGTATATTACTTTCTCATCTATTACCAAAAGTAGCATCACAAAATAGACCAACCGCAACTAACATTTGTTATCTCTAAACTACCCCCTCCTCTCACCCCACGAAGGCATTTCAATGCTTCAGCAGGTGATCAGCTGGAGCATCACCGTACCCAACACAGTTACTGCAGTGGAGGGGAGCTGTGTTGTGGTGCCATGTCAGACACAACCTCATTCTAGGGTCATATGGTACCAGTACCATACAATAACATATCCTGTTGTGTATGATGGGCGTAGTCCCAATGCAGTGGAAGAACAGTTCAGAGGACGCACATCAATACCGGGTGAAGCTTCAGAGGGGAACTGCAGCCTGATGATAGATAATGTAAAAACATCCGACAACAACCTACAAACTTATGTTTGGATCAAACCAGACTCTGAATCAACTCAGAAATTCCATCTTAAAACTGTAACTATCTCTGTTGGTAAGTAGGCTAAGTATTTGTAAACTATTATCATAAGAATGCCAGGTTAACCAGGGTGAGAGATATAAAGTGAAGGGAAAAATGCCATTGGAAAATATAATTCCCATATGACATTTCTTTACATGTTTACACAATTGTCAATCTAAAAATGTATAGTTTTGTATCTATACTTTTACTAGTTTTTTCCATTATCATTTTTTTTTTACTTCCAGAGAGACGCGCTATTAAAATGCAGATTCAGAAACGGATAGTGAATGGGGAGATGTTCCAGGCTAACTGCAGCGTAAAGCACTCCTGCCCTTCCTCACCCCCATCCCTTCATTGGAACAAAAGTCAATTTCTAAACGACTCCACTTCAATGACTAATGGCACGCTTGAACAGGCCCAGAGGTGGCATACAGAGACACTTCATGGACTAGCAACCTATAAAATGCATAACAGCAAAATGTGGTGCTCTGCAAAGTTCAAAACCTTCACCTCAGAAAGTGAACGGATAACACTCAACATTTTATGTAAGTGTGCAGTTTACCATGGTCAAAGTAATTACAGGAGTAGATTCACTTGCCAGGTATAACCATATGTATTGTTTGTTGTGATTTTCTTTCTCTACAGATGAACCTGTGAATGTGACCCTGACACAGCAAAAGGAATCAGTGATGGAGGGTGGTAGCGTCACCCTGGAGTGTGGTGCTGACTGTAACCCACAACCACACACGTACAAATGGCTCAGAAGACAGATGGGTCAGATCAAGGGAATAAATTCAACTGAGAAAAAAAGACCCTTCAACAATATCACGCGAGACACCTCTTTCTCCTGCATCGCTTACAATGACATTGGAACAAGGCAGTCCGACTGGTTGGATCTGGACGTTCAATGTAAAAACAATCATATTCCATGTCCTCTATTTCTCTAGTGTACTGATGAAATCCTAATTTACTCAGGACCCAGTGCTAAACATTCATACCAAGATTTTGCTCAGCTGGCTACTGAACAACACCACCAGAGAAATGTAACATCCATTAAGGCGCCTGGTCATTTAATACCACCTGACACAATTCATAGCAAGCTACTTGCAAATTGCAATGTAACCTTACCTTCCGCTCCGACGTGCTGATTTAACAGAATAACCATCCGCACATTTATTTTTATTTTATGCATTTATTGGTTATATTTTATATGGCGTTAAAATATGTTCAGTTGTGTCAAATTGTAATATAAGCTATACCTTTTCTTTCAAAACTAACAGTGTAAATAATAACAGCAAAGACACAGTTCAAGTTTATCAAGCAAGAAATAGGCAGGGTGCAGGCTTCCTGTGATTAGCCTGCACACGTTCATACAATGGATGATATGTGGTACAGTATGCGTTGTAGAAACAAGCCATTAAAATCCCCTACAAATATTTAACAAAAACATAAAATGTTTTTTTGAAGGAAACATGTTATAAGCTTGTTGACAATGCATCTTTGAATAATATCATACAATAAATTGTAGAGGTTGATTGTGATTACTTGTTAGTTAACGTTACATCCTGTCTTTCTAGATGCCCCTGTAATCGTACCTGAGTCCTACTGCCTCCTGACAGGGGAAAGTCTGAAGTGTGTCTGCAGCGCTGAAGCGTCCCCTTACCCCTCTATACATTGGACCATAGATGGAAATTACACTCTTCCGTCTTCCTTCAGCTTTGTTTCCACAAATAAGAAAAATGTAGTCTCTGGGGAAATAAATTGTGCAGCTCAAAGGCAATCCAACATATCTTGCACCGCCACTAACTACCTGGGCAGCAACACAAAATTGCTGTCCGTAGAAAGATGTAAGTCACTATTGTGTTTCCCCTAACTACATGCACTTAAAGGCAGATCAAGAGTATTTTGTTTATTTATATTTTTCTTTCACAGCCTCCACGTATATCTGGCTGTTAGCTTTTGTGATCCCAGGAATTGGTTTGCTATTTGGAAGTGCAATGTTCATTTGCAGGAAAAGATCGAGAAACAGGTTGGTAGACTTCACTCTTTGTCATGTACATACATGTACAGTAGAGCTGTGAATAATCTTTCTATTGTTGTTGTATTATCCACAGACCGCCAGCATACGTTGTGTGCAACACTGATATCGTTTTAAGGTAAAACTGGAATGTATCAGTCTATTATTTATTTCAAATTGCTAAATTCAAATCACATCTTTTTATTTTGCATTCTTTTTTCAAGGGAACAAAGATTACCTCACAACGCAGAACAAGAAGAGAGATATGGCAACATTGAAAGGTAAATAAAACTATTGTATTCCCAATGTATGTATATTTATAAGGTGGAAACTGACAAAACGGATAGATTGTACAGTAGAGCTGTGAATAATCTTTCTATTGTTGTTGTATTATCCACAGACCGCCAGCATACGTTGTGTGCAACACTGATATCGTTTTAAGGTAAAACTGGAATGTATCAGTTGTCTATTATTTATTTCAAATTGCTAAATTCAAATCACATCTTTTTGTTTTGCATTCTTTTTTCAAGGGAACAAAGATTACCTGACAACGCAGAACAAGAAGAGAGATATGGCAACATTGAAAGGTAAATAAAACTATTGTATTCCCAATGTATGTATAAGGTGGAAACTGACAAAACAGATAGATTGTTTTACATGTAGTCCAATTTATTGTTGTCTTTTCTCTTACACCTCAAACAAAAAATATATAGAATGGAAGATATTAAGAGTATCAAGTTGGTTTTCATTTACCCACTTCTCCCCTACCGCTCTTTGTCTCTCCCTTCCTCTCTCTCTCAATCAGATTTCAAGCTGAGGACATGCTATCACCATGCGGACCAGATAAAGGCCCAGATGAGGACAGTTTTTCCTGTGTTTATGACAATGAATTTTTGGAAGATATGAAAAAAACCAACCAGAGCTCAACAGCACCACAATAACAAAATGGCTTACTGAAGAGAATGCAAAATACAGCCACAAGCAAAGGTGCAGTGACTAAGACTCATGATTAAATGATGCCATGATCCAGACCATCACGTGTGTCACTCAAAGTAGCATTCAAGATTTTAAAACTCTATACATAGATGAGATTGTTAGCAGGAGAAGACCTTGTAACACCAAATTGTTCCAAGAATCAAATGAGATAGCTTTTTGTAACTATTGCCATTATTAGTTTTGTTTCCATGATGATAAGGAAGAATAATTTGTTTATCTGTTTATCTGTATCTGATCTTATGCGTAGCTGCAAATAAAAGCAGGCTCTTGTCCTAATAAAATTCAAATGTTTATATCAGGGTTTATTACTGTAGAGATCCACTGGGTCCTTAAATAACATGCCTAACATGAAAGTCAACATGACTTTTGCATTTTGGTTAATATTAACCAATGGGTGTGTGTTCATTGCTCGATGTAAAAATAAGATCAGTGAGTCATACCGGAATAGAAAGGGACTTTTCGTTTCCGGCTGTTTCTGGAACTTTATATCAGCTCATCTTTGAACTATATTGTCTTTGATGAAACGCACAGCAAGACAAACAGCACGAAGCTTTATTTATTTGAAGGCCAAACACTTGAGAAAACGTCCAGTGTATGTGAGTAAATACAATTATTTATTTAATCAAACATTTCAGATTATCTTTGCTAATGAAATTCCCACATCTGGTTTTTGGAACCTGAGCTTGAGAGCCGATATGGTTTGTTTCTTTTAAATTGTTCTGTAATCATAGAGGGCTTGTATGAGGTACCGGGGAATTTATGTTGTTATCTATGCTCTCTTTAAAGACAAAATGCTACTTTGACAAAAACAGTGTTTGATGATTAAGTTCAGAGTCAACGAATAAACATAATTATACAAATCACCTAAATAATTGAGGCAGCATTAGACAAGCAACTCTCATCTTCTGCATTGTGAAATTACTGTTTTTGACAAAGGAGTGGTGGCTTTAAAAGGGGGATGGAGCAATATTAGGGTTTTAGTTCACCAACATAAAAGGATGTCTAGCACAAAAGTGGAGAATATTTTCTCAATATAGTGTACATTTAAACTGATAGCGTTGGCCTTTTTTTAGGTTGCTAAAATATATATTTTCTGCTGCCCAAAAACTCTGCAGTGCATTACTTAGCTCCTCTGTCTATAGTCCAACCTTTTTCCACTCGACACCATGTATTCTACTAATACTAGGTATTACACTGACTATAGATGTACCTCATACAACCCAAATTCAAAACGTCCTATCTTCTGTCCCAATGATGTGGTTGTTTAAACAAATATGCCTTCATAATTCATTATGTATCAGGAGTGTTTCTTTTTTTGACCATGGTCACATCATCACATGGTATTGCTTAATAACTTGTCAGTGATATAAAAACAGAACTAACTTGATCAACTGTTTCTGTAACCTTTTATGTTTTGAGTTCCGTTTTTTTCTTTTTTCTTTGGAATAGGATAAAAATGGAACCAGGGGTGAGGAGTGAGGTCATTCTCTCAGCTTACATCATTTCCTTTCTCCTTGGCCTCCCAACAAACCTCGTGGCTCTCTACGCCTTCAGCGTCAAGATCAACTCCAAGCCCCTTTTAACAGACATCCTGCTTCTCAATCTGACGGTCTCTGACCTGCTCTTTCTGATCATCCTTCCTCTCAAGATGCACGAGGCAGTGTCAGGCATGCAATGGCATTTATCCAGTGCCCTGTGCTCCATCACCTCCTTTATCTTCTTCTCAACAATCTACAGCAGCTCCTTGCTGCTAATGGCAGTCAGTGTGGTTCGCTACATTGCACTAGCTTTCCCCATCACCTATCATAAGCTGCAGAAACCTGTGTATGCGATGATTATCAGTGCTGCTATTTGGCTGATTACAACAGCACACTGCAGCATCACTTTCATTACCCAGCACCTACCATCCCTGTCCAGCGAAGACTCCGATGTTTGCTATGAGAACTTTACGGCGCAGCAGCTGACGATCCTCCTCCCTGTACGTTTGGAGTTTTTCTTTGTGCTCTGCCTAATACCTCTTTTAATTTGTGTTTACTGCTACTTGAGCTGCATCGTTATCCTGTACAGTCGCCCCAGGATATCCCCGAAGCAGAAGCAGAAGGCCATCGGCATGGCCTTGGGGACTCTAGCTGTGTTTCTCATCTGTGTGCTGCCGTACAACCTCTCTCATTTAATGGGTTTCTTACAGGGTGAGAGCCCCAAATGGAGGCACTACACCTTGCTGCTTAGCACCTTCAACACCTGTATTGATCCCATCATCTCCTACTTTTCCTCCTCCACTTTCCAGTGCATTGGTAAAAAGTTGATTTTCAAGAAGTGTGTATTCACTGTTTCAGGCCAACAGCCCACAAGCTCTAGCTAAGTCTATAATACAACACATCCAGCTGAAATATTCTTGTTGTATTGTATATAATGATTATTATTTTGGAATTTGTTATGCTTTAATAGTTCAGTTCCTTAATGAAACCACGTCTCAAATGGTTTGCTGTTAATAAGTAACACAATATTATGTTAAGATTATAACATCCTGCTCAAAGGGTATGACCTGCTTTCCATAACAAAACATTTTATGACAAAACCACAAGTTATCTTTGGTGCATAAGCAAATTCCAAATTTTATTATTTTACAGTTAATTCTCAATTTTCGAAAGGGAATTGTTATTCTTTGCACCCTTGACACATTATTTCCTGTTTACTTTAACGTGGGCCTGCAACTCTTCTGCACTCATGCATTCTGTAGGCACACATGTAGAATATACCTGCAAAACAAAACATAGGTCATGTTACCACAAGTTTATGGCACTATAACAATCTGTTGTCCTGTAATACACAATGTTTGACAGCAAGACATATTCTCTTGTGTTAAAGTTACTGATGTGTGAGACTGAAAACTGTATTGTTAGCATTTAAGTGCAAAATAAAAGCTAAAAAGTCTGTACTAACCAACAATTTCTATAAATAAAATTCAAGAACATGTAAGTGTTTGTGTGCTGAGCTGAGCTGTTAATTAAGGTTTATAACGTTTTCTCTGTGTGCAAATAACAATGTCATATTTAAAAAAAAATAGTCAAACTGATATAGAAAGTATTTACACCAACTTTACTGCACTATTTCATTTGAACAAACCTGCAAAGAAGTTCATGAGCAGTGCCACCCAGCCTAGTATGTAGGACCAAGAGAAGCGCCAGTCCCCAAAGCGCTTGCCCAGGAAGTTCACAGTCACTCCAGTGTAAATGGCCATTGCAAGCAGAACAAAGAGAGCTGTCGTATTGGGCAGAGAGTGACACATATTAAAATAATATCCGTAAAAGTTAAGTTCATCTGAGTTGGAAGTTGGAAGAGTTTCAATAGCAGGTGTAGTAAACTTTATTGATATACAAATTCAATAATAATGGCAGATGTTTTGGAAAAAAAAAATTACGTAATTTGGTTAATTGTATCCTTGACTCACTTGAAACAAAGAACATGATCCCAGCAGCAAATGAGCGGTTGAACCTCTCAAAGGCCGAAAAGTGGGCAAATGAGAGGATTCCTGCGATGATGCCAGCAAAGCATGACATGGCAGAAAGGATCATGAAAGCACGAGTGGCATTCCAGTAGGCTGTAGGAGAGAGAACGAAGATATGATATAGAATATTATGTTAACCATGATAAACCTTTCATTGTATATGAACAGTTTCATACTAAAATGTAATTTCATTTGAAAACTCGCTAGAAATGAAACTGACCAATTTAACTCCAGACACATCCAAACTACGAAATGTTGTTATGAAGTGTTAAAAAAGCCTGTCACTTACAGTTAATCGGAATGATCATTTTAAACTTTTAAAAGGGTTTTATTGATTTTACTTCAGTAAGATGCTATTCCTTTTTTGTATACTATATTATTGCAGTATTTAAATGTGTAGCCAGATATGAATGTTCAAGGAATAGTTATATCAGTCCACCACTAAAACATTTTGAACATTTGATCATTAGGCCAAAATGTAACTTTAACAATACCTTTCGACCAAATACCTACAAAACTAATAACTTTCCTATCAGCCTCATCTTTTCTTTGTATTAAGTCATTATAAGCTAATTTTAGCATGCTAAAAAGCTGGTTAACTTGTTACATTACACATGCTTATCATCAGCACATTAGCATTTTCCTTGTGAACATGCTAGCATGCTGACATTAGCATTCAACTAAATACAGCTTTATAGAGCTGCCAGCATGACTTTAGACTCTTATTGTTAGGTAAAAGATGTAAATATGTGTTCCACCATTGTTGCTGTCATTCTACTCAGCCTGGAAGTCATGAAAAAGTTACCTCAAAATGTGTTATTGACTCAGGGAGACAGAAGGGAATTATTAGGGGAAGAAGAATGTATTTCCCACTTACCAATGCTGTCAGTCTGCATGTAACACTTGCCAGACATGCAGTACCTCCACAGGCCTTGGTGGGCAAAGCTGCCGGACAGACGGTACTGCATCCAGTAGTCTGTGGCTGCGGACACCACCAACAGGATGTTTCCCACAATGGCACAAAAGAGGCCCCCTCCCATGAAGCTGTGCATCATGAGTGACACTAGGAAAGTGGTCTAGGCTTTATGCACTGTGCAGGAGAAAAACAAGATGAAAGTCAGTGTTGCAAGTGTACTTGTAGCAATATTGTTAGTCTTTTTAACAGGGTTTGTAGCTTTTTCAGTAGGAGATGTATTAAAGAGACGGGAATGGCCTGAGGAGAGGATGCAGAGGCAGGAACAAAGTGTAGTCAGTCTGCTGTGATATGAGCCAACACCGCCACAGGTGAAAATGGGGGCTTATCGTTGAGCTACAGTTAAAACACCACCATTTTAGTATCTAATGAAGGGAAGACGTTGATTTACATTTCCTATTTAGAATTACCCTGCAGGCCTAGGAGCTTAAAACAACATTTTCACTGCCACATACCATTAACTCCAACCATTTACACAACTTCCTGGCAGCAGTGTTTACCACAACATTTCCTCAAATACTGACTCATTTTGGTAGACTCTGTGTGACCTTTGTGTCATAGAGATGTGTTTCAGCAATATGTGTACCTCATTCAAGGAGGAAGCTGCCCAAATATACATGAGGGTGTTTGCCTATCCCTGAGAGCTGCTGGACTGGACAGAGTAAACATACCAACAACAATATTTAGCTCATATGGACTCTATCTGTTTGAACATGCTTTTTACACTAACTGAATATGTCAATTACCTAGACCAACCACATGAAACCCAAATCAGCAAATAGCTGAAGAAAATATGAAAGATAATAGAGGATACAAATAAAGCCACAAATTAAATATTGAACAAGGGCTTCAAACAAAAACTATAGCTTAAAAGAAAGGTCACTTTTGAGAAATGTGTCCAACTCCTAAAAGATATCCCTTAGGTTAAACCATTTCTCCTGTGAAGCTGCACAGACCGTAACTGATGTTTTAAGTATGACAACAAAAGATTGATATGAAATGGCAAGAGAAATGAGCTTTTCACAGCAGAACATGTCAAACATCTGTGCCAATGGCATCCCTTTAGCTCCGAGCTTTCAGAGATAACATGCATCATCACTACTCTTGTGGAGGGGTGTAAACAGCTTAGATGTCTCTGTACACATGAAAGGAACCAGAGAAATGGCAAAGAACCATGAGAAATGTATCATGTAATAAAAAAAAAACAATTTATGCATCACACATTCATGCAAAAAAGGCACATTGCATGTGGATAATGCGAGCTATGTATTGAAAGCCTGTCACTCTCACATGGCGGAGGCCCTCTAGGCCCACCTGTAAGACATACACTTTCTGGTTAACATGTTCTGATATGCAATCTACTTTATTATTTGTATCCCAAATCTAAGTGGCAGCAGCAATGAACAAACGACCCGACATCATCTTACCTGAATTTCTCAGGATAAATTAACCGTCTTAAGTACCAGCCTTTCCTCAGGGAAAGAGTGAGAGAGAGTGCAAGCTGGGAGAGAGCGAAACGTCAAAGAGGAATCTCTAGGCTGAACTCCAAAAAGTTATCCCCTCCACTTTTCTGTTGATGGAGGCAAAATCCTCTAAAACAATCAGCACAGAACAAATGCACTTGAGCTGGTGGGCCAAAAGTCACGTGACTCTTTCACACCGAACTACATAGGAGTATTTTGGGGGGTCAGGGGAGAGGGGAGGGGGATGGATGGTGATGGGGGAGGGTGTGGTATACGAGGGCGCTGCACTACAGTCCCTGTCTGTTGTTCTATATGGCATTCTGGAACTGTGGATATGCAAAGGCTTGCAGTACTGCAGCGGTCAATGGAACATGCTGAAGCGCACACTTTCTTTCACTGTGGCTGGGGTGTGGTTACAGGGACACGCTTACAACAGACCCATGACCAAAGAGCTGCTTAAAAAACAGAGTGCTTAACATGTTCACTCTGAATATGTAACACCATTGCAGAAACACTGACAGTAAAAGGCGGCCAAATACTGAATAAGAAAAAGTGTTCATATAATACAAGCTATATTTGGCATGCATATAATAACACAAATATAATACACACGTACCAATGTTATTCACACAACTTCATTAAAGCATTAACAGCTGCTATGATGGATGGGTTATTCGAGGTTATTAAAGTAATTTGAGCACAGGTAATTACATGTCAGATGGTCTGTGTTAATATTCAGGAAAATGCCCTCTGGGACACCTGAGCAGTGATTCCATCTTTTGTAATTAACTACCTAATTATTCCACATACGGGATTTTTGTAGGTAATTTGATTTATAATACAATACAATAAGCATACCCTGCTTGATAACGCATAATGCAAAAGATAAAAACACAAGGTACCAGGCTTATTTCTAAGGTGGATGCATGAAAAAAGTCTCATACTAGGAAAACTAAAACAAAATCAGTATTATCTTTAAACTTCACATATCTATTTTGGGTTTGGGGTACATTAGAACTCTAGCAGTAAAGTATCGTTCTTACTTTTGTGGTTATGTGTATCTTACTGACTCATTCTCCTACTGTGAACACTTCAGCTTCCTCATTTGTGTAATAAGCATGCCCTTTACCAAAGTGATCTTAAAAAACAAACAACTCAAATATGGTGAGTGGGTTGTTTTTATATCGACTGTTCAGGTAAAATATGTAATCTGCATTTGCCCGTTGGTGGTGTAGAAACATTTAAATAGAGATAGAATGAAACCAAGCACCAGGTCAAATCCTCCACATGAAAATCACCTATTAGATTAAATAATAAATGTGTATGATGGCTGGTTATCTGAGACATGAGAAAGAGATGGACACTGGTGTGTCAAGAATTAGGTATAACCTTTACTGACCTCCACAGGAAGCAGCTGATAGATTATTTACCATCGGCAGCATATGCTAAGGAAACATTTGCAATAAACAGAACCACCGTCTTGTTCAGAGAGATTTAGAGATGGCAGAAATGGAGGTATCTGGAAAAAAGAGGATACAAAAAATATGATGTTATTACAATTGTTCTAACTGCAGGACATATCACAAGTATGTGGTAAATGCAACCGGTAAATGACCTTGCAACCCATTTCGAGGTAAACCAATTTATCTTCAATGTCACACATCCTCAACTATCATGCACTTCCTCATTTAACCATCCCACGGCGCGCCATTTCCTTTTTGAAAGTGTAAGATAAACACTAGCAGCATTAGGAAACATTGATAACTTTTTTTAACATTCAGTGGCGGTCAGTAGGGGTTATTACTTATACCAATCTGTTTGGAGTTATTTTGGCTTTTACCATTCCTGTGTTTTATATTTGTTAGTGTTGCATCCTTGTGGATTGAGCCTTTAAAATGATTTGGCTAATAACATATCTTCATATATTTAGCCGTGCAGCATTGTCAATTCAATTGTCAAGTATTTTACATCATTGATCTTACCAATAGCTATTCAGAATCTTTATGTGATGGGATGTGTTTAGCACTGCACAATAGCACCATCTGCTGCACTTATGTATAAGGCATCCGATCGCCATGATGGAAACATCTTTTTGAATATGTTTTTTTCCTAAAACATATACTGTCCCTCTCAATCATACAGTAGGTCATACTGGGCACTGTTTACTGGTTGGCCTGCTGCTGTCATTGAAGCCTTTCCATGATCCTCCACTCTGTGTCTCCCACAGGAGAGGCAGGGAAGAGGTGAGGGCCGGGGGCGTCTGATCTCATGGGTCAACCTGAAAACACCTCCCTCTGTGGGCTCCCGACTGAGGAATCAAAGGTTTAGTTGCTGTTCCTGTTTCAAATACTACTGCACTATAAAACATTCAAAAGTAAGGGATCATCAAGTGTGTGTGTGTGTGGGAAGAAATGGGATTAACTTGGGGCCCCCTGAGTTTACATTATTTGTCTATATTTAACATTAAGGTCATTTTTGTATTTAATTCCACGTTGCTTTGAAAATGTACATGTATGTACATTTGTTTTGTATGTGTGACTGCTTTGGTGGAAGTGCTTTCTAATGTCAACAAAATATTTCTGTTTCAATATGAATTTAATTTTCACATGTAGTGTCTCCTCCACTTGAACTTACAGTGGGGAAAAAAGGTCAAAATGAATAAAATATGGATTTCTAATATCTATTTGAAAAGAGAGAATTCACTTTTATGCCCTTGGACCTTGTACACTTTTCTTAGCTGGACTGTCTCGTTAGTGATCATCGAGTGTCACTTACTACAGGGGGCAATGTTGAGCAGTTGAGCTCTACCTGTAAATGCCTCCTTTGTTGTGTGGTTGTGTGCTGCTGTGGACTAAAAAAAAGTGCAGTGATAGTACTGAGAAGGATCTTGGAATACTGACAACACAGAACAAGGGGTGATCCAAGGACACACTGTGAAGTTAGCTACCTGACTCTGAAGAGAAACTTTTCAATTCACCGAGCATCACATCACTGGAAACTGAGAGGAGGCTGATCAAAGAGCAAGCAAGTGAAAGAGAATAATAGGATGTAATGGTAAGACACACTGTAGGGTATAGCATGATGATGAGCACAACAGAGAATTATGGAGGAAAATAGAACAGATCGGACATCTTTACAAAGGCTTTGTATGTTTATCCGTCAACCCATGGCAAGGGGTGAATCAACATACAGCAGCAGAACACAGAAATGAGGGTAAGCATTAACATAATGCAGGCTAGTTAATACTCTAAGCTTCTCATTTATGCATTTCAACTGTAAACATGTTTTACATATTTCTAACATTTAATTGCATTTGTAATTGAATACTATATTTTAAAACAGGGTTACCTTGGCAGTTGTTTCCCCCAGTCATGTCTTGTGTGGCGCTGCAGAAACTTAGTTGTCCTGGATCAAATGAAAGAATAATCACAAGATTACTTTAATAACTCAAGATATGGAAACACATTGTTATCAAATCACGTGTATTGTTGACTGAAAGGAAAATCCGTATCAGTCTATAAACCATATGGAAACATTTGATGAAAGTACGTGGGGAGCAGTCTCTAAGACAGTGTTAAGATGATAGAATTATAGTTTATTGCAACATGCTGAAAAAGGGAATGTAAAGACAAGTATTATTAGCCTAGATGTTGAGATTTAACCCAATACAATTTGTGACAAAGGATGTATGAAAAGCCTGCAACAACACATGCAAAATATAACAAATATAGAAAGTAAATATGTATACTTCCATGATGAAGCAAGTCAAATTGCAGACTGCAAAAATACCACTTTAATTCAGGTCTTGAATATACACATAATGATTCACTGGGATACATGTTTGCTGTTGCAGCACACATTCAAATAATACCTTGCTTATTATTCCATAAATGTAAGTGTTAGACGTTAAGTTACATTAACTGTTAATATGCTTTTTTTTAACATTACATATTGATACTGCAATTTATTTTCAAAGAAACGCAAAAATCAATTTCAGCCCTAACATAAACCTAAATCAAAAGCATTGCCTTCATCAGTGAGATGATAAAGCATTGTGCATTTTGTTCCATAAGGTTCTGTGTGACCAAGACGAACAGCATGGTTGTAAAGTGATAGCAAAAAGGAAAGAAACATTTCAGGTTTCCTTCATATAAAGGAATAATAATAATAATAAGCTAAATAAATGTACAGGCATGGCGTATACTTAGATTTATTATGAATACATAAATTACAAATTCATGTGAGTTTAAAATTGAAGATTATACAGGAAGGTAGTACAAAACAACAACACATAGAATATTCGCTGAAATAAATATAAGACCGATTTGAGTAATTAAAATATAGAAACAAATATCATACAATAAAACATTACAGATATAAAATATAGTTTAAAAAATAATATAGACATCAGACAGTTGTAGCAACTCTGACAGGAGCTGGAGGGACAAATGTGGGGAGAGCCATCGATCTCTCAGAGGGAGTCTGAAACAACAAACACACAGGTTATCTACTATTAAGCAACATATATGGACCAGAAGAAGCATTTGTCTGCTTATGTATCTTTTATTAGAAAGTTTACCAGGTTTAATCTGTTGTAGTCAGGGGGAGACTTCAGCCCTCCTGTCAGCAGGTGATGAGGAGTCGTTTCTGTTTGGGTTGTTATTACCTGCGAGTGAAAAGAAAGACACTGAAACAACCGGCCGAGAGACAGGAGCAGTATTCATTGTATCATTAGCCCTTCATGATTCAAGATGAAGCAGATTTTTCTATCACATAATGATAGCATTATAAGAGTCTTGGGTGAGGAGCTCACAAACAACACAGAGCCATGAGAGAATTACAATAAATGACATGGGATAAAACAAATATAAAAAATAAATAAACATGATAGCAAGAATAAACCCCAAGTTGTTCAGACAAAGAAGAACTCCACACCCTGTAACAAGACTACAACTTAAATATATGACATTCTATATCTTATGCATGATAAGGAGAGTATGGCATTTATATACAGAACTTAAAGGTGGGGTAGGTAAGTTTGAGAAACCGGCTCGAGATACACTTTTTGTTATATTCCATGGAATGCTCTTAACATCCCGATAGCAATGAATATCTTAAGTGCTTTGACAACAAATCCATAAAAAAAATTCATCTGTGGAAGCCGTAGTACTGTAAAAAGCACGACCAATCATTTTAGCCGGCCCGGCTAAAATAACTGGATGGCCTACCTGCCTGTCAGCCTTCCATCTGTGCACAAACTTATCTCGTGCCCTCATTGGTCATGTGCACGTTCGTGTGTGTTGGAGGAGGGGCTCTGTAAGGAAGTGGCAGATTTTTTCCGGCTGTGTATTTTCAAAATCTAGCGCACTCAAGCTGGTTTCTCCAAAATTACCTACCCCACCTTTAATGTGCTCTACAAACTCCTCATTGGTAGTCTTTTATTATGTTTTAGTAAAATGATTCTAACCTTCTCAACTGCTCTGGACACTGGATATCTTCTCTGCCGACCTACAAAACAGAGGGAAGAAGGTCCAAATGTGATATTTCACCCCGTTTTAAAAAATTGATCGGTATTTTTTGCAAAGCCATCACCTACTTTTGTTCTTGTTTGAGTGGAAACAGAAGTAAATGGCGATGCCCAGCAGGACGATGAAGAACAGACTGCAGGGGATTCCAGCTGCGATGCCCGCGATGGCAGCTCTACTCAGCCCTTCCCCTAGTATCACCATCACAACAAGTAGGCAATAAAAGGTACTACTATAGAAAGAAAAGATGATTTCTTTAAAACACACCAACTGATAATGTGCCATACCTGGACCAATTCTCTGGACCTCAGATGGCTCTCCTTCCACCATAAGAGCTTTGGGGATGACTCGAAATCTGTACGTCAAGCTGGGATCGAGGAAAAAGATGTCCACACTCCTGACAGAGCCAGGTTTCTGCTGGATGGTGTGAAAAACGTCTGCACTGCCTCTCTTCTGGGTGCCGTTACGACTTTTGTTCGGAAGGTATGGTCCTTTCATTTGGATGTCAAACCCTATGTACAAAGCACATGCAATTATGTTTTGTTTGATACCAGTATAAAGCTGATTAATCATAAAAGTGGTGACACATTACAGGCCTTTTTAATGAGGAAAACTAAGGTGTTATTTGATATACAGATAGATACTTTATTGATCCCAATTTGGGAAATGTTTGCGTTGCAGCAGCATACAAGGCAATGTACATAAGAGAAATTAAGACAAGAAATAAAACAAAATATTTCAGAAATAGAAATAAAATAGCATTAAAAATAAACTAGCTGAGACAAAACAAATACTGATATTTGCTATTCGCAGCACTTTGTTCCTTTAATTATTGTTTCCCAAAACACCGCGGCTTCACACATTAAACAATATTTACACCCCTATGCTCTATGTTGACTGTCTGTTTTCAACTGTGTGGAGTTCTGCTGAGATGTACACATTCAAAACAGGAAGGTTGGGTTTGTGTGTGTGTGTGCTGTTCAAAGATTTTCTTGTGAGAAATAAATGAACCTGGAGAATCACTGCTTTACCTGTAACGACAGAGGTAGGCGGGACCTCCCAGGTCAACGTGACGATGGTGCCGTTGAGATTACGGAACAAACTGAAATCTGAGATGGATGGTCCTGGAAAGAGAGGGATTGTGAGCAAGGGGGCGATCAAGAGAGGGCACGAAAGAGAGGGGGGGGGATAACAAGACTAGAGGGCTTTGTTCGACAGGGAAAGAGCAATCTCAGGTATTCCTTAGCTCTGAGGGCCCGTTGTTTCATATTAGAAGCTGAAGGAAACAGAAGTGTGTGGCAGAAGACCGGACTATCAATATAACATTGTCAAACATGTTGTTACCAATGTTTAGTATTGGACATCAAAAAATAAAAAATAAAACTTTCATATCAAAATCAAGTGTTTTCCTATTTTTTTTCTTTGTAATTAACAATTAGTTAATTCTTAGTCTGCTGATTGTTTCCCTGTTTTAACAATTCAAAGTTTGGTCTGCAACATGCCAACAAGTGGTGCCCAAAATGCATCTTACAGTCGTAAAGCCCAAGGTGACACATTTAAATGTTTATATGTTTGACAGTCAAACGTATATAGATTTCTATCATAGGAGTTACTTTAGATTTCAAAATAATTTTCTTATAATCTGAATTGTTACCGATTCATTTTACATTGATCAGGAAGATGATTGATTAACAATTTCATTCCTTTTCCGTATTTATCTATCTATCTATTAATTCCCCTTCAGAGTGTCAAATTCCTTATTCACTTATTAGCAGCATTTCAATGTTTTAGTTGTTCAATTTAGGGCTACATTTTTGTATTTATATATGTTTAACCTTCTAAAAATGCCACCTAAAATTGTTTTTAATGTTTTACTTATAAAATTGTCAAATTAAATTAATATAATGAAGCAAAAATACAAGAACCTGAAAACTGCATGTTCTACAGTATTTCAGTAAGTATCTGAAGTTTTACCACAGCTTCATTTGACAGCAGCCACACTGCACCTTGTAAGTGAACTTCCCTCCTCTGGCTGCCCAGTGGGTTGCTGCAGGTGCAGGTGTAGTTCTGGAGGATGAAGTTGCTGACATTGTAATCCCGAATCTGGAGCTGTGTGGCGTTGCTGCTGATCTGGTATGTTGTTCCCGCGGCGACGGTCTTGCTGCCTTGGGACCACGACACCACAGCTTCAGGCGAGGCCTCACTCACACACTCAATGGTGACCACTATTTTGCCATCAGAGGAAACACTGGTCCTCACAGAAGGCAGGAACTTCATTGGACTACCTGGGGAAGAAAAGGATGTTGTTCTTGGGCTGGCTACTACCTTCTCTAATGAACACACAGTGTAATTTTTCTAAGAACCAAATACTGGCTTCTTTATCTGAAAACGTAAGACTTACTTGCAGTCACGCTGCACTGATTCTGTTCCACTGGGTGGTCTGCCATGCAAGTGACAGTTTTCCCGTTGAGGTTATCTGAGGCGTTGAAGGTCAGGCTGAAGGTCTCCGCTCCGCTGCTGGTGTTGCTCAGTGTTGGGAAAGAAAGCACGGCCTGTGGGGTTCCCCCCGGCCACATACAGTAGTACTGCAGATTGACGTTATTTACCGACTGCACCGAGCACATCGGGTTGCCTGATGGTCTCTCTGTCCAAAGAAAAAGAATGTATCAGACATTATTAAAATGAACCAGGCATTCTGTCAAATTTGGGTACATATAAACAGATGTTATTCAGACAAGCATGCGGAGTCGGAGTCATGTATTTGCAGGATCTTAAAGTTGTCCTAATTATTGTAATTTTATTTCAGCCATCTTCTTTTACAGTAGGTGCAAAGATAGTAAAAGACTGCAATCTCATAGCTCTCCTAAAAATATTAAAACACTACCCTTAAAGTATATATAAGATTGTAATGTAGCGATATGTAAAAATTCAAAACAGAAAGTTCTGTTATTTTCAGAAATGTTGATACAAGTTGAAAAACAGTCCTTTCAAATGCTCACCAAAAAAGGTAAAATCATGCTTTAGACTTACCATACACTTTTAAAATGATGTTCATTTGAAGCTTTTCTTTAGACTGCTCATTGACCAGCGTGCACATATAAGTGCCTGCTTGATTGGTCTGCACATTTGTTAGATTTAAGACTCCGTTGAGTTGATCAGGAATCTGACTACCGAAGTCCCACTTGGCAGTCGGCAGTGGGAACCCTTCAGCTTTGCAGGAAACGCTCAGCGTATCTCCTGATAAATAGAAAGGCTGAGCTGGAAGAGCCTCCAGTATTGGCTTTTCTGGTCCATCTATAAACAGATCACATGTAAAAAGAGGAGTCCCATAACAATGAGGGGATACTATCAAGGGACAGATCTATAAAGACATTTTATTAATCTTACACAGCACGGTGACGTTTATGCGAGTTGTCACATTGCTGAAGGGGTTCATCAGGAACACCGTGTACCGTCCTGTGTCTCTTCGGTTTGGCCCGTGGATCACAAGGCTCCTCTCCGCCACTGTGTACTGAGAGTTGGAATTTATTTCTATATCATTGAAGAACCACATCTGTTGCTGGACCACTCCCTGTAGCATGCTGTACTGAAGGGTGAACTGTTTAGATCCCTCTATGACCAAATC